AAATTAATTATAATAAAATTCCAGCTTAGTGTAATGGTATTTTTTTTCAAATAATGAGATAACTCAGAAGGTTTTTGTGTGGAAAAGCCAGAACTGACTGCATATTCAGCCAGCATACCTGAGTGTTCATTCATTTGGCAGCTATGAAGTGTACAACTGACATTATTTCAATACTTATTATGTCTACGTGTTCCTTCTTGTCTTCCACTCAAAATAATTGACATTGTGAAAACATCATTGTTTTATTAGTGCTTTTCCTATTTTAAATTTTTTCTCTAACTTGACTGTAACCTTCAAAAACACTATGTTCAATCATATATTCAAGGAGGAATGAGTCAAGCTCTTTGGAAGATATTTTAACTATTTCTGACTAAACACACTATTGAATTCAGTATTCGTCTAAAAAATACATTAACTTTCAACGCAGTTGATTATTTTAGTTATGTACCAAATACATTTTAATGAGAGAAAAACTTGTAAAATGTTTCTCAAAAGTACATGGTATATATAATTTAAGCATTTTATAGTAGACAAATTGCTTACACCGATTACTTGGAGAATGAAGATTCAATCAGCTAGCAAAGCTCCTTCCTATACATACTCCTAAAACTAGCCAGGAAACTTTCCCAAACTCCCTTGTTATGAAAACTTCTCATAATGCTGCAAAGTAACTGTAGGTAGTTTTTCTTTTTTTTTTTTTTCAGTTGGAGTCTCACTCTGTCACCCAGACTGGAGTGCAGTGGCCGTTCCCGGCCACCGCAACCTTGATCTGCTGGGCTCCAGTGATCCTTCCGCCTCAGCCTTCCAAGTAGCCGGAATTACAGGCATGATCTACCACGCCCGACTGATTTTTTTTTTTTTGATTTATTGTAGAGATGAGGTCTCTCCAAGTTGCCCAGGCGGGTCTCGAACCCGCAGGCTCAGGCAATTCGCTCATCTCAGCCTCCCAAGGCGCGGGATTGCAGGCTGAGCCACCGAGCCCAGCTTTGTAGGCAGTTTTTCACTGGAGATTTTCACAATGGAGTTATTAATTTGAAGCCAAACCTTAAATTTTCACTGAAGATGTCATATTCTGCTTACTGATTTTCATATCTGATTAGGATTTAATATTCCCTGTTCCATAGGAAATATTGATAAGAAAATTCTAGAAGCATGAGTTTATAAAGGTGAAACCAGGCTATTTAGTAGCCAGAAGTCACCTACTGGGCACCAACTAAGGGCAAGATGTCACTTACAAGATACAGGTGATGTGAATAGGATTTCCTCACTTAAGGAATTGTCCAGCTAGTTGAGGGGAGAAATGGGTTAAATAAAAGGAAGAACGTGGTAGGAAGCAAAGAATTCTGTGGGATTCTATAGAAGGAAGAGATAACATTCAGATATGGGGCCAAAGGGAGCCTATGCATTGGTTCTGGAAATATGGCGAGTGGGGATTATAATAAGCTGAGACTCTGTCTTGTTCACATGTAATGACTCCCTGGAGAACGTCCATCACTGCACACTGCAGGGGACAAGGCCGAAGCAAGAACACCAGCTGTGTGGCACTTCAACTATCCAGGCAGAATCAGATGGTGGCTTGGACCTCAGTGGTAGCTATAGACAAGGGAAGAAGTGGTTTGATTCTGGACACGTTCCAGAGTAGGCAGAGCTATAGGATTCGTTGGTCCAAACAACTGGAAGAGCAAAGTTGCCGTAATAGTGATGGGCAGGGCAGAAGATTGGTTTAGAATGTGTTCATGCCTGTTAGACATCCATGTTGAGAAGGCCACTGCCTGTCCAAGTCTGGAGCTCAGGGAAGGTCTGGCTGGAGTCAACAGGACGCAAGGGGCATTCAAAGGAATCACCTGGAGTGAACCCAGTCAAGAGGCCCCAGGACAGAACCCTGGGTCCTCCACTCCAGGCAAGGTGAGGAGGAATAAGCAAAGGAGACTGAGAAGGAATCACCAGGGAGCAGAGAGGAGATGTAAGAGAGTGAGCATCTGGATGCCAAGTTGAGGAAGGGTGTCAGGTCAGAGGGAGTGATGGCTTCAGCAAATGCTGCACACAGATCAGCTGGGACATGAACACTGATGTCAACCTCAACACCAGTCATGTTTATGCCAGACATGAACGCCCAGATGGACATCTCCTAGCTCCACTTCCTTACATGAAAGAAGTTGTCTTTTTCACAGTTTCTTGCACAGATATTTCCAAGAATCTCGGAGGTGGAGTGAGGATGGGGAGAACAGGGATAGGTATATCTTCAATGTGGTTCTGGTCCTCTTAGAAACCACAGACAGAACACTCAGAGGCACTGCTGGGGCAGGACTCCCCAACTACAGGCCTTAGTGCTGGTGTGTGTGTGATGGGGGACATCCAGGACAAGCTTTCAAGAGCTGTGAAGGCTGAGCAGCCGGTCTTGGAGTCTGAGATAGAAGGTGTGTCTTCCTTCTGGGTTATACTCAGATGAACAAAACGGCCTGTATCCAAACTCTGTAGGGAAATTTTTCATCTGTCTCTTTCTGTTTGTGTTTCTCTCTGTACCTTCTGTCTCGTTCTCCCTTTCTTTCTCCCCCCACCTCATCTCTCTCTTCTTTCTCACTTTCTCTCTCTTTCTTCCTCTCTCTGGGTCTCTGTCTCTCTCCCCTGTCTTTCTCTTTCTCCCTTTCTCTCTGTCTCTTTCTCTTTCTCTCTCTCTCTCTTTTTCCCTTTCTCTCTCTGTTTCTCTCTGTCTCTCTGTCTCTCCCTCTCTCTCTCTCTCTCTCTCTCTCTCTCACACACACACA